GATAGATAGATAGATAGATAGATAGATAGATTAAAACAGAGTATTCAGTAAATGTATCTTAAAATATATTTCAGCAATTACATTTTTTTTAAATATTCTAATGAATTATTCTTATATATTAAAATATATTAAAAGTTTGTGACTGTGAATAAAAGCCTTTTTTTTTCATTTTTAAAATATTAAAATATAAAATTAATATTATTTTATAAAATATATAATATAATATATATTAAATATAATATATTAAAAAAGTGTGAGATTGTGAATCCAAACCATAAATGTTTTTGATCACATAGTATAATATCTTAAAGTATATTAAAACTTTGTGACTAATTTGAATCAAACTGATAAACACTTTTTAAATATTAAAGTATTAAATTATAATACATAATAAAATTATACAATATATATTCAATTATAATACATAATAAAATAGTATATTTAAAAAAATATATTAAATGTTTTTGACTATGTGACTCGAAGCCTATAAACTTTATTTTTTTCATTTTTGTTTAAATATTAAAATATTAAATGATAATACATAATCAAATATATTAAATGTATTTGTGACAATGTGAATCAAAGCTTTCTTTTATTTTTTTTAAATATTAAAAAATAAAATGAATATATAATCAAATAGTTTAATATCTTAAATATATATAAAATATATTTAAGCATTTTTATAGAAAATTACATTCAGTTTACAGTTGATTTTTCTAATCGTGTGTTCTTGTAATTATTTTTTCACATCATTTGCATGAGAAAACCTCCTCCTCGCTTGGCTTTGTCTCACTTGTACAGTGTGCAGATACGGCCGATCCATTTTTAGAAACACAGTCAGCGTTCTCACCGTAAGGCAGGGGCTTTGAAGATGGCCAACTGTTCCTGTCCTAGATCACTTTTCTCCAAGTGAGACTATTAGAGCTCTAACAGTGTCCACCAGAGGATGCTCGGCCCCCCCGGAGCTCATTACTGACTCTGGGAAACTAAAGCTCATTCAGGAGCTGCTGGAAGCATTAAGACCAAAATGCTGGTGTTGCAGAAAACAACCAATGAACACTAATGACAGACCAACATCACTCGAGGCATATCAGTACTTTTGTTTTCTTCAATATATGTAATGTGTTAGAGCCAGGGTTTTACTGATCATACAAGTTTTATTATGTACTATTAAAAAACGCATGTTTGACTTTTGAGAAATCATTTATTTGATTAATTTAGAATATATACTGTTTATAATATATAATCTTTAAGGATAATATTATAATTGGAAACGCTTTATGCATCAATATTTGACTAACAAAATGACTGACATAACAATGAGTCATTTTAAAATGGTAAATGTCTTACCTTAAAGACAAAGGACTCATTGAACACTGGGTTGAGGGTCTTTTTGTGCACCTTAGTGTCAAACTTCTTCTTTTTGTCTGGTAGGATGAACACTTTAACATAAGGGTCGGATGTTCCGCCAGAGTCCATGGAAATCAGATCGGCACATTGCAAGATTCCCACTGTCAGCTGTGGATAAAAACAAAGGAAAAAACAGCATATTAGAATGATTTCTGAAGGATCATGTGACACTGAAGACGGAGTAATGATGCTGAAAATTCAGCTTCGCATCACAGAAATCAATTATATTTGAAAACACTTGTTTGAAATTGTAATCAAATTTCAAAATATCACTGTTTTTACTGTATTTTTCATCACATAAACGCAGAATTGGTGAGCAAGAGACTTCTTTTAAAAACATTTAAAAAATCTTACAAATCTTACTTTACCTAAACTTTTGTACAGTACATGTCTTTTTCACAACTTCCACTGTACTGTTCCAATGTTCCAGACACTCTAGCAATATCCTGTGGCTTTATGCATATTAAAATGGGAACTGACTGCATTAAAATACATAGTAAGAATAACGATTCACTGTCATTAACGCTTGTTTAAACTCATTTTGGTGAGCCGTATGCAACTTTACCTACAGCTGTGACTCAGCTGATACTGAGCCGTGCTGTTAAACACTGTCATTAGTAAAAGATACAGCACTGTAGGAGCACAAACGTTCTCCAAGACCATCATACAGGGAACTTTAAAGAGATGTACCAGTTAAAGGAACAGTTCCCGAAAAAAAAAAAAAATCTGTCATTATTTACTCAGTCTCATGTCGGTACAAACACAAACATGCTGTTATTTTTCAGTGGGACACAAAATTAGGATTCTTGAGAATTTTCACAAAATTCCCATTAATTACTCCAACAACACTTACTTTCTTAATTGTGGCCAAATGCATCTTAATATATTTTAATATGAGACAGAATGAATAACTGACAATACATACACCCCGGCATCTTAAAAAAATCTGAATATATTCGCAAAAAAAGGCCTTTCCATCACATTTTTTTTTCACAAAATACAAATGAATATTCAAATTATATATAAGCTGTATCAGCTTATATATCAAAATAACAAAAGCAGTCAACAAAAAGTATTCAAAAGGTATCACTTAACTTACAAAATATATTCAAATACTCCATTTAATGTTGAAGAACTTTACATAAACACGTTTATAAAACAATAAATACGCTTTTTTCACAAAATCTGTAATTTTCTGTGGCTGTTTGGATGTAGTAGAATACACCTGGAGATGTAGCAGACCAATCGCTGACCTTGAAATCAGGATTAAGCATAAAATAATACATATAAAAATGGGCTGAAAATTGAACAAATTGGTTGTAATCTGGCTCAGAGGAAGACGGGAATCATGTCTTTGTGATGTTTTTCTGCTGATTAAGGGATAATACAAGACTTTTTCACCTTACAAATGGCTGTCGAAAGCAAAAATGCTACAAAATGCATCATTTTTTGTGATAAAATGTGACGAGCTTGAGCAAAACAGCCACTATTATTGGAATAAGCACCCCAAATTTATTATGAAACTAGCATTGGATATGATTCAGGGCAATGTTACTAGTTTATATTCCAGCATATAATGTCATTAATCTGACATTCTGACCTTGTTATCCTGGAAGTCGTAATCCAAAGAATACTGAAGCTTTCCAAGTTTCTCCACTTCTTTTTCCTCTTCCTCTTTCTCCTCCTCCGTCAAACCAGTTTCTCCTTCTTCATCATCATCATCCTGGTGTTTCTGTGGTGCAAATGACAAATTGTTTTAGCAAGTCGATGTCTGGGATGAAAGTATATCTGGCTCCTGACTATAAGCATGCCACAAGCTCAGTTGCAGTAAGGTTGGAGAGATGCTTTTACCTGGCCTGACCTACTAGTTATCTGCCATAGTGCACTCGGAGTAATGTTGTCATTCAGGGCTGGATGTTGCAAATGACTCGAGTTCACAATTTTTATTGGTGACACTTTTTTTTATCTTGGCTTTCCAGAGTTTAATAAAATTATGTTTTGACTCTACATTCAAATTAGGTTTGGTAGTAAATGGAAAACAAAAGAGCTTTTATTGATATGCATAATTTGGCATGCAAGCGTTTTCTCATCAGCATGATAAGTTTAACTGTTCATCAGTGATACTCCAGGGAACAAGTGATGACAGCAAATTTTTAAAGAGGAACAGATTCCTTTGTGCTATTCTTGGCGTATGAAATGCTGACATGTTGTTCTTGTGTGTTTTTGAACATCATCCAAATTGCAGGAAGAGAAAATAAATCTATAATGTGCAGAATTAATTTCTTGTTTCCACAAATAGGTCACAATTCCAGCATTGTGCAGTGACCTTTAAAAGTATTTGGACACTAATCACACTTCAAAATGTCTGAAAGACATTGCATTACAACAAGAGTTTTCAATGTTAAAATTAACAAACATTATTACCATCGTTACCTATGAAAATATAATAGAAATACAGAATATTTTTAGAAGAAATTATGAAAAACCTGGAATTAGATAGCAACATATCAAAATCAAGCATCATTTGTGTCTCAAATGCCACTTGGTTTGATATTTTGTTATCTAATGCAATTACAGTGAGACATTTTTAAGTGTGGCTGAAGCGTCTAAATAGATTTTGGGTTCACTTTATGTAAAGATGATGCATAAAAGAATTATTATGTTATATGAACTGAATCTTTGTGCATTGCATCTTCAGGACAATATCATTCAGGGCTCAAAAGATTAACCAAGTTTTTAAAAGAAAATTAACAAGGACTATAAACTGGGTCCAGGTGCATAAACTTAGACTCTAGGTTAAGACAGTGTCTTAAGTAAGAGTTTGACCAGCTAGCAGTTAGCCAATAAGTAATCAGTCTTATTTTTGGATTTAACTTAGACTAATCTATGCTTTTATGTAACTGAAGTTAAAAACTTTATGACCAGAAAAAAATTAGATGACTAACTTTCAAGACCAGTCTAAACCTTTTATGCAACCGGCCCCAGATTTAAAGACTTTTTGATATATATTTTAATGTGTCACCAAAAAAATTGTCACTCTCAAGTCAGTTTCTAACCATATCCATATAGCAACAAATTAAAGGGCACAGCAGAATATGTGCTAATATTAAAAACAAATTGGTCATTTTACATATGTTTTGAAAGAATCCGGTACTTCATATATTTTTGTTAATATATATTAAACTGAACTGGTTGTATGATCATAGAACAAGAGCTTATATGACAAGTAGGGCTGCACAATTAATCGAATTTCTAATCGCGATTACAATTATGGATGCCACAATTACGTAATCGTTCAAAGCGGCAATTAATCGTTCAAAGTCCACTTATGTTATTCTGCATGCTTAAGATGTGTTTTTGTCTTTCTACATGTTATCTTAAGGGTTTTTCCCCATTATTTAAATTTTAGTTTTAGTATAACATTATAATACCATTCATATTTTTACTTTTTTATAATTTAAAGAAGAAACCAATCTGATGTATAGTTGACATTTGAGGCTTAATACTATAGAAAAGCACTAAACGTTTTTCAATTAGAGTGTTTTCAGCTTGTTTATTTTCATATAAAAATACGGCATGCAGTTGCATCAAACAATGTTATAAACATCATTCAATGTAAATTGTGATAATCATAATTACAATTTCAAGGGAATAATCGACAATTATGATATTTGTCATAATCGTGCAGCCCTAATGACAAGCGTACAAGCATAAGGTTTACTGCTAGTTATAGTCCCTGAGACATCAGGACTTTTAGTGCAGTTAAAACAGCCATGCCCTTTAACACATGCATTCATTGTGAGTCTTGTGGGTCGTCTCTTACTAACGCCAAACATCTTGCCAGTATTAGTGAGTTAATAGTTATTCCATTCATTCCTCCCACACAAGTACGACTCTTTGTTATTGTATTATGATTATTTTCGGTCCACTTAAGTGGGGTTTTCATTTGCATTGTAACTTCCCTTTGTTTTTAATTGTATTCTTGTCAAGCAGCAGGTACAAAAGGCTTAAAACAAGGAAGTTAACAACAGCCATTCCATCCAATCCCACCCACGCGGTGCTAGCACTCAGCGGCCAAACAGCTGTGCCGTTCATCCGTCCACCTACCGTAGCGCCGACGCCCATGAGCGTCAAGAAATGCGACGCATTAGACATATAGCGGGAGGAAGGAGAGCAGAGAGAGAGGGAGAGGTTGAACTCACGACACACCATAAAACAGAACCAAAGACAGTCAAGACAGTAAACAACAACAAGAGCACCATTGTGAGAAATGACACACTGCCATGTTTAAGACATCTGTATGCATACAGGTTTGGAATAAAGTTCTGGCATTAAGTGTTTAAGGATCAAACTATGAAATGAGTGCCTTTTCTTACTTTACTTCATTACTTTTAAATTTACAAGAAAATTTCCTACTTTTTCAAATAAGTAACGCAAATGTTTTCCCATTTATTCACTGGCACCTCTCCTGTCCTCCTGGAGTGAGGTGCAAAGGCAGAGGTACTTCCTTCAGCCTGAGGCTTATTAATTTCACTTTTGGTGTGAAAGGGCCTTTACAGTTGCCAAAAATATAACTTTTGGGGTTTTTTTGTTATTAAAAATTAACAAGCAAGCCCGGCTCAGATGACAAAAAGTAATGCAATGCATTAGTAACGCAACGTAATTAGTTACTTTTTAATGAAGTAACAATATTGTAATACATTACTTTAAAAAGTAACTTTCCCTAACACTAAGGGAAACAGTATGTTTCTGGAAACATTAAGTCTTTGTAATTATACACTGTATGTATTATTATGTATGTAATCATTTCTTAGAATGATTTTTAAAGCTCCTATCTTTTTTATGATCAAAAATTACATGAGCAACACACTTGTTTGGAACATCCAGTGTACCATTTCTCTTCAAAGAAAACCAAACACTCACATTACTCACAAACACAAATCATCACATGACAAACTCTCCTTCATTATCAGTGCAACCCACACTAAAGTGGTCTGAGGCCTGTTTTCATTTCTTAATGATTCAACACTAATTTTGTTGATGTGCCCAGTTAATACAGAAGTTAATATCATCTAGTTTTATTTCTAAATTCAAACAGATTAAAGTGTACATCAAAGTTGTTTTAGCTACATGACAATACTGTCATGTTGGGAGCTACTGAACACTCTGTTACATACATCTCCACCCTGCATGTTCTTCATGTTGAAGCCGTCCTTTCCCTTTTTGCCTTTCTTGTTCTTCTTCTTCTTACAGCAGCATTTCTTAATGATACAGAAGCAGCAGGTGAGGATGAGGAGGGCGGCCACAACAGCGATGGCGATGAGCGCCCACGGAGGCACTGCAGAGCATCATGGGATAAAAATCAAAGAGATTTATTCAGACGAAAGGTTGTCACTGAGCAGCCTTGAAGGTGATTTTTGAAATGCCAACCAAAAAGGGTGGAGCAAGTTATGAGATTTTAATTCAATATTACAATACAAACAAGTTTTCAACAAAGAAACTAAATAGTGAATTGAGATTGCATGTTGAATTGAAGGGCTATAAAAAGAAAAATCACATTAAAGGAATAGCTCACCCAAAATTGAAGATTTGCTAAAATTGTTCTCACCTTCAGGCCATCCAATATGTAGATGAATTTGTTTCAGAACAGATTTGGAGAAATGTAGCATTACATCACTTGCTCAGCAATGGATCCTCTGCAGTGGATGGGTGCCATCAGAATGAGAGTCCAAACAGCTGATAAAAACATCACAATAATCCACAAGTAATCCACACCACTCCAGTCCATCTAAGGCATTTTAACGTTAAATATGTGCTTCTGGCCAAAATAGACAATAATCCATAATAACACTTCCTCCAGTGAAAAAGTCCATCTCCCGTTGTCCTCTCACATCAAAATCCACCAGCATATTTGTTTAGAACTGTTTTGACTTGCAAATGGTGCTTTTTTTTGCAAACTTTTTCACTAGAGGAAGCGTTATAATGGACAGAGGATTTGTATTGAAGCCAGAAACAACGGTTTGAAGTTAAAAATGTCTTGATGATGAATAAGCTTCTTACAAACAAGCAGTTTTTTGCTTCTCAAGACATTAACTGATGAACTGGAGTGGTGTGGATTATTATGATGTTTTTATCAGCTGTTTGGACTCTCATTCTGACGGCACC